GCTATGAGTCACATGCGACTTGATGGCATATAACAACAACAACAATTGTTGTTATGTGATGTTGAGTTGACTATGACTCATAATGACCCTATGAACAAAGCTCTGAACCTTGCTTTATGCTGAGCCAATAGTACCATCTCTGACACAACTGACTGCATTCCCAACAGTCATTTTTTTCAATCCATGTCATCCAGGACCTTGCTCTTTTATGCTGACATTCTTCCTTTCCAAGAATGATGTCCTTCTCCAAGAGTTAGCTTCTCCTGACAAAATGCCCAAAGTATATGAGACAGAGTTTTACAATCTTTGCCTCCAAGGAGAAACTGGGCTTTACCCTCTCCGGAAGAAACCTATTTGTTTTGTTGGTGGTACATAGGATGCTCAATACTCTTCTCCAGTACTATAACTTAAAGACATCAATTATTCTTCTATCACCCTTAGTCATTGTTCAGTTCTCAGATATATAGCAAACAACTGAATAGCATGGCTTTGATCAACAATGTCTTTAGACTGGCATTGTTGCTATTTAGACAGACAAATGCGTTTTATAGTCAATAAAGTACAAATAAGTATCTTTCTGGTGCTCTACTTTCATCCAAGATCCATCTAACTTCAGCAATGATATCCCTGGTCTCATGGTGTCTTCTAAATCAAGCTTGTATTTCTGGTAGTTCTTTGCTGATGTCCTCTTCTAGTCGTTTTTGGATAATGTTCAGAAAGATTTTGCTTGCTGTAATATTTTTTAAATATTTTTGCTTAATGTAATATTAATGATACTGTTTAACATCTCCACGTGCTGTTGTTATCACCTTTATAAAAAAGGAAACAATTATGGATCTCTTCCAGTCAGTTGGCCAGGCATCTGTACTCCAGATTTCTTGGCACAACCTGGTGAGCACATCCAGGGCTGCGGCTGTTTGGTGAAATATGACAATTGTCATTTTTTTAAATACCATTTGATGCCTTACTTTTTTTTTTGTCAATTCCTTCTTCCTTTACTGTCATTGGTTCTTGATCATGTGTCAGCCAATTCTTTTTTGGTACAGTGACTCTATGTATTAATTTTACCTTCCTTTGATACTTCTTAGATCATTCAAGATTTTAC